GAGAGAGAGAGGGAGGGAGGAAAGGAGTAATAATAATTGTTGATGAAAAGCATGATGAAAGGACAACTATTATGTGTTTGGAATGGAATTAAAATAGCCATTACATCTCCTACCACAGCAATGCCTCACTATAATAAACCAACAATACTGTATACAAATACTACATTAACACTATTGCATGTACATGTACATGTATGTGTGACTTGTGTGTACACATAATACTGTATAGTGCAAAATTTTTGAGGGTTGTAAATTTCGCAAATTTTGCCTAAAAATCTATTTTGCGGATTTAATCTTTGCGAATTTATACTGTCTGCCATCTTGTGCCCCAATAATTTGATTTTCGTGGAAGTAATTTTTGCGAATCTTCAAAAAATCGTGTGAAATCTGCAAAATTTATAGCCCTTAAAATTTTTGTGCTATATGGTACTATATAATAATAATAATTTATCATAAATAGTGATCTACTTGCACAATGTGAAAATGTGAATACCGTATAGCGGGATTTATTGACGAAGGTTTTATTTTGACGAGTTGACAATTTAAAATAAAACGTCAAATTTAATAACCGTCAAAAATTTTGTACTTTGTGCCACGCGTACACGAAGGGCACTATTTGTTAAATTAAAACTCGCCAACCGGGGAAATTTACTGTTTTCGTCAAATTTTTTACTCGTCAATAAATCCCGCTATATGGTATAACTCGTTTAAAATTTACCTTTTCTCTTCTTTTCCTCTTTCTCTTTCTTTGCCATTATTCCTCCTCCTCCTCCTCTTTGTCTCAGTCCTTCCTTGTTCCCCTCATCAGAAAGTGGACCATTTTTAGTCTCTATGACTTGACTCCACCCGGCCCCTTCCCTATAGCGTCTCTCCTCAACTTCACTATTAAAATGGACATGTTTGTGTCCGCCTCCTTTAATCGTCCTCACAAACTTCTCCACAATCAGGAAAGCAATGATACCAGCCAGTACCCATAACCCAACCATCATGTCCTGCGTATGGTCGTGCCCCCCATGGTGATGGTCGCCATGATGATGATGGCCTCCGTGGTGATGGTCGTCATGGTGATGGTGATGTTCTTCATGGTGATGGTCGTCATGGTGATGGTCTCCGTGGTGATGCGACCCAACGGCGTGAGGTATGAGATGGAGAAAAGCGTCGCCTAGAAGACCTCCTGAGGCAAAACTAAGGAGGACTTAGAGGAAGTCAGAGTGTTCGGAGGCACTGTTGATAGGAATGAAGAAGAGTATGAAGAACGGGGCTGCACTGACCAGAAGGGTGGAGGAGAGGGCATAGGTCCAGAGCTCAGTTTGATGTAAAAGCTGGCTGACAATCATAGCTAGTCTGTTGCTTCTTTTAGTCAGAAAAGATTCATAGATATACTCTAATATCTATGGGAAGATTATGATACATTCAACCACGCCTCCATGGGTCAGAAAATTATTAATTGCTTTATTAAAACATTTACGGAGATTATCCGGATAGCTCCGATATGGATGCACCGATGTTTGGGTGGGGCTGGTTTGCAGAAAGCCAGAAGTCCTGTTGTTTTTCCATCCATTTGCTGCCACCATTTTATAAAGGCAATGAATGTAAGTCATGCCACATAATGTGAATGTGTTTTTTCATTATTTTCTTCTATGATACCATTGTGATACTTTACTAAACTGTGTTATTTAGACTGTAAGTCACGTCACATGTAAATGTGTAATTTATTCTTTTCTTCTATGATACCATTGTGATACTTTACTAAACTGTGTTATTCACAATCTTTCAGGAAGTAAGTCACGTCAAATGTGAATGTGTAATTTTATCCTTTTCTTCTATGATACCATTGTGATACTTTACTAAACTGTGTTATTCACAATCTTTTAGGCTGTAAGTCACGTTACTTGTGAATGTGTAATTTTATTCTTTTCTTCTATGATACCATTGTGATACTTTACTAAACTGTGTTATTTAGACTGTAAGTCACGTCACATGTAAATGTGTAATTTATTCTTTTCTTCTATGATACCATTGTGATACTTTACTAAACTGTGTTATTCACAATCTTTTAGGCTGTAAGTCACGTCACATGTGAATGTGTAATTTTATTGTTTTCTTCCATGATACCATTGTGATACTTTACTAAATCGTGTTATTCACAATCTGTCAGGCAGTAAGTCACATCACATGTGAATGTGTAATTTTATTCTTTTCTTTTATGATACCATTGTGATACTTTACTAAACTGTGTTATTCACAATCTTTCAGGAAGTAGTAGTAAGTCATGTCACATGATATGTGAAAGTGTAATTTTATTCTTTTCTTCTATGATACCATTGTAATACTTTACTAAACTGTGTTATTCACAATCTTTTAGCTTGTAAGTCACATCACATGTGAATGTGTAATTTTATTTTTTTCTTCTTCTATGTTACCATTGTGATACTTTACTAAACTGTGTTATTCACAATCTTTCAGGTAGTAGTAAGTCACGTCACATGTGAATGTATAATTTTATTCTTTTCTTCTATGATACTGTTGTGATACTTTACTAAACTGTGTTATTCACAATCTTTTAGACTGTAAGTCATGTCACGTGAATGTGTAATTTTATTTTTTTCTTCCATGATACCATTGTGATACTTTACTAAAC